AAAAAACTCCGAAAGCTTCATGCTTGCTGGCTTTAATATAGAGAACATCGCTTTTTTGGTTTTCAGTGAAAACTGCAAAAGTCTTTTGGGCAAGAATTTCCAATTAGTAGGATCTTCATTGATCGATGAAAAAATCGTCGTTCTAATTTCTATGCAGGTACTGTGGCATAAAAGTTGCGCTACTTGAGGGTGGCAATATCAAAACGTTTCTCATATTTTTCAAATCTCTTCAGGTTGTCTATTTGTATAAAATATCATTTATTGTCAATAAGCACACTTGCCTATTATTATTTTCCAGTGAGTATGCAATGGCAAAGCCCGGCTATAACAGCTATTGCTATAGTTGTCATGTTCATAAAGGTCACACCCTGTAAGCTAATTTTCGTAAACTGTCTTCCTAATGATTGAATAATAGTGAATTTAGTTGTGACAGGTATCCACATTCCAAGAATTAATGACGGCTACTATTCAATAGAATCTCTACGGGTGATTATTGTTGGAGATATAGGAGGTAAAGCTTTGTTCAACACTGTTTACTTCTAGCTTGAGAAAGTTGAGCTACCTTGGAGGACTACCCGTGTACCCATACTACACCTACGGCCAAAGTAGAGTCGCAGAAGTCATGGAAGACTGGGCTTTTAAAAAGAAGGTCCAGTGCGTAATTACTCTAGGCGACAACATATACTATGTTGGCGTAAAAGACGAACAGGATCCTCGATTCAAAGCAAGTCTCTTCTTTCATCAACGTTAATTAGCGCTAGCAGCCTTCTCATGTTACGTGGATTCTTTGTGCTTTTAATTATTGGACTCAGTCGTTCGATGGGAAATACTTTTAAACTCTGTTAGCAGGCAAGCTCATATGTATAATACTCATAGACTAAAATAGGCTTGTTTCATCTCTCAAAGCTTTACTACATTTTAGAACACTTTCGAGAACATTTACAATGGCAAGGGATTGGATGTACCTTGGTACATGACTGCAGGAAACCACGATTATTTGGGCAATATTTCAGCCCAAATTTCATACAGCAACTACAGCCATAAATGGTCAGCTTACATTAAGAGTAACAATGGTTTAAGTATTGCGTGCCGTTGTAGTTCTACATGAATTTCATTGAAGGCATTTCCCTGGGCTGTACTACAAGTTGTCGTTCCCACTTACAAAGGCATGTGTTGAAATTCTTATGATTGATACGATAGTGCTCTGCGGAAATGTTGCAAAAATTCATAAGGTGCTTCTCTTGAGAAAACACAATAAAGATCCCACTCGTGCTGTTTTTTGGCATCAGTCAATCATTTGCAGGACCAGAATCTCAGGGATAGAGCGGAAAGACAGTGGCGATGGATAGAAAAGAATCTGAAAACAAGCAAGTTGGTAAGCTAATGTAGAAACTCCAGTAACGCAACACATCTCAAGGGCTGACTATCTGTTTGTTGCTGGTCATTATCCGATCCATTCAATGGCCTCGCATGGACCGACAACCTGCCTTCGGAAAAGACTCGATCCTCTACTCAGGCGATATCATGTATCAGCATATTTCTCCGGGCACGACCATACCTTGCAGGTAACTAGCTTCACTGATATTGGCACAGAATTTTTTTCCACAGTTATCATAGTATAAAGAAATGGGCAAAGTGCAATCCACCGTTACTTTTTTGAAGAATTTCAAAGTTTTTATACTTTACAAGTGAGGAAATAATGAGTTAAGGGAGAATGGAATAGCTGCCATCCTTTCCTCTCATCGCCAATGATTTGTTGTGCTCTCACAAAGACACCTTTCTTGAGAAGCGCAAATTCTTTATTTCGATCTTAATTTGCTGATTCAGAATTTTTCAACTTTTGAGCTGCATCACTGACGCTATTCACGGATCGTTCATTTTCAGCATATTGTTTATCCGATTGGCGACGGTTATGAAATGCACTATGTGGTCTCTGGTGCTGGGTCACGATCAGACCATTCCACTAAACATCTTGGCACGATTCCTGCACAGTTTTTAATGTTTCGGTAAGCATTTCGAAAAATTTCCGAAGCCAAAAATGAGTTTATCTCGTTTTTAGCTATCCTGTTGGTTGGAATCCAATCTCAAATTGGGGATTCACTTACGGTGGCTTTCTTTACATGGAAATCACGAAGAATAGTGCTTCGCTGCAATTTATAACGGGAAGCAACGTGACAATGTACAGGACAAAGATCTATCCCAGATCAATGAGTGAAAGGCGGAGTATTTTTGAACAGCAAAGTTGTATTTCGCCTGCGAATGAGTGGCGAAAGCGCTATCATTGACTGATCTGAAGAGTTTTTTCAACAAAAAAGTACTAAAAAATTTCATGTTTATATCTGCGTTGAGTAAACATCATCACTTCGAAAAAGTCAAAACTGTGAATTTGGTAATAAATATTGAGAGAGTCCTTGTGGTCAGTCTGCGGCTGATTTGACGATTTTCATGTTCGCCTAAACTTTCTTCAGATAATGAATTGGTTTCTGATATAGCTATGTATGCTAATGGTGCACAATTGTCTTGGTTTCCGTTACAGCTTGTTCCTGTCAAAACTTCTTTTACGTTCTGCTGCATGTTGATATTTCAATAGATATATGTTGCTGTGTTCCCTAATAATCGATTTCGTATATCAATGTTTGCCATTATTTGGTTTGTCATAACGTTGGTAGAAAAGCCACTTGTTCTCTCTTTATCTGCGGTCTTTTGACTTTAACGTTTTTCTCCTATTCTACAGTTTTTGATGCTTATCCGTTTCTTTTACTTCTCTATCATATGATTCCAACATAAACTCTGAATAATATTCTGTTTCGCTATCGGCGCGAGAGATGATTATGCAGTTCTACAAAATTTTGCCCTTGTGGACGACAATATGTAGGTCTGCAAAGCTGCTTCTGAATGGAAACTCGATTAAAGTCTTAAAGATTTTGCAATAGCTCTCGTCGAAGCCGTGAACGATATTACTTCAAATGAGGACACCGATTATTTAAGAATAATTGTTGTAGGAGATATTGGAGGTAAGTTTTAGTTGATAAGTAGGCTCTAACATCTCAATTTGTAGGACTACCTATATTTCCATATTACACTTATGCTCAGTCCAAAGTTGGAAAGGTTATGGAAAACTGGGCAAAAAAGAAGGATATTCATTGTGTGTTGAATGTTGGTGACAACATTTATTATAATGGTGTGAAGAATGAGCATGATTCAAGGTTTCGTGTGAGTGCTTCTGCTTTGGCTCTCATTGCGCATGAGGACAAGTTACAACAGACTATAGCAGCTGCTGATATTTGAGATGATATTAGGCTCTTTCAAAAGTTCTTCCTGTTTCCAAAATTTTTAACGTTGATTAACATGACTTTTTTCACAAACAGAGTAAATTGTGTTAGAATCTACAAATGCATGATTCACTACAAATCAACGCAGCAACTACAGGAATAATTTTCCACACTACGTAACTCTGTCTCTGATGTAGTGGAAGAGCACTGAATCTGCTTGTGTAGACTTTTAGATCGCAAAAAAATGAACCCCGTAATTTTTTTTGCTGCTAGAAATCTAAAGTGTATTTTGATGTGTAACTTGCGTGTGGCCAAGACAGGTATCAATTTTTACTTATTGGGCCATCATTCAACGCACTCTTCGGAGCCTCAGTTCAGGAACAGAGACTACGAGCAGATCAACATGAGCTGCGATATATGCGGATGATGTAATTCTGATGGCAAGAAGCAGGAAAGAGTTAGAAGACGATG